AGTGTCAAAGACAACCAAATCAAAATCAAAATCAAAAAATTCAAAATAAAAGTTTGAAAAAACAAATCAAGCCAAACAATATAAATTTCTCTTTTTTTAAAAATCTTTCTTCACTAATTTTTAATTTTACAGAAATTATTTACAAATTCTTTTTAGTTTTTATGTGAATTTAATAATCTAATTAAAAGATGGTGCATACACACAAAAAACGTAACACTAAACATTTACATTATGACTACCTATTTAATTATGAATAATTAATTTCACATTGTTATCTGTATTATATTACTACAAAAGATTTCACATGTTACTTTTATTATATCTTATATATGTCAATGTCGTATATAAATATATAAAAAATATATATATAAATGTAATTTTTATATATAACTGTATTTATACATCGTCAATCTGTAATGCTATATTATCATTAGATACTTTAATTTTCTAACATGTATCGCTTTAGTAATATAGTTATATTTGTTAGAAAAAAAACTGTGAAATTTTGTATTATTCTCCTATCAACTTATGTTTAATACATATAAATACATGTCATACAAACAAGTGTAAACAACAAACACTTTCATTAACAAATCAAGACATTGCAAAATACTTCCATCACGACAATAATTGTACTTTTTTCCCCCTCATAGAAAAAATCACATTATTGAGAAAAAATGAATTTTGAAATTCATAACAATATAATATCGCCTCAAACTCTTACTTATCAAAATATTTTTATTACAATGAGTTATAATGATGGGCAAGAAAAAAAATAAGAAAATAGTGAAACAAAAACTACAGAAGATAACATGCTCTCCAAGCAAAATTAGATGAGTTGAAGTAGGAGTTGTCTTATCCGCTGTGAAGTTCAAGAAAAACAATATACCTCATGCACACATTTTAGTCAAATTACAAGGAAAAAAAAAATCAAATAATGCTCAAATATTATTACAGCAACTCAATGATGCAAAAAGTAAGTACATCAAATAAAAAATTTAGATCAATTTTTGTCATCGACAATGCTACGTAACTCAAATTTTGTGGCTCAAAAGTGGCTCAAATGGCCAAAACGACGTCGTTTTGAGTACAGAACAACATAAAAATGGCCAAAACGACGTCGTTTTGGCCATTTGAGCCACTTTGGAGCCACAAAATTTGAGCTACGAGACATTTTCCTTTTGTCATATACTGATTACTTACAGATGACATAATAAATTATGTAACTTAACAATTTCATGAAAGTGACTCTGCAAACACTTATAAGTATAGATCTATAAATATCGTAAAAACAATTATAAAATTCCTATATCGATTGAAATATTAAGTTACAATATCATTTTATTTTCTTAAAAAAACCATTACACATTTTCTACATAAATGAAAGTCTACTAATGACTAATGTTATATTTTTCATCATGCAAGATATTTGTGATATAAAAAATGAAACTCAAAAACTCTTGATGTATAAAATATATTATATATTTTTATTAATGTAATATTACATCAATAGTATGCACATAATATGCAATAGTTGGTTCAATAAATTTGTATTATGAGATAAACTATTAAAATTAAATTGTGTAATTGTGCAATTTATTTTATACCTTCAATTGTATTACATATACGAATTATGAAAAATTGAAGTGGGAAGTTGATAGAAAAATATTTGTATAAATATATATATAAAGACTTATTTATTATTTATTGTTTTAGATAAGATTGTAATTTCAATAATCTAGTTATAAATTAATATTTATATTTATAAAATTTTTCATTTATCATTTAAATTCTTCAACTGAGTATACATTAATTTATTACTTAATTGTATTTTGAATACAGATCAATTTACCCATACTAGTCTGCATACTTTGTATGCATATCATATACCAATTTAAGATATACGCATAATTGCAGTATTAATAATTGATGAAAAATCATGTGTCACGTGCAACGTATGTGCCCAACCACTAGTATATATAAGGTACATAACATGGCAAATCTTGATTTAAGCAAGGGAAATTCTATTATACGCACCCCGCATTATATGTTTCTTTAAGCTATGTCATTTTTTTTTTTCCGTCAGCTGTAACCAATCTTCTTTAGTTATGATATTAGGGCGAATTACATTAACGGTCCCTATACTTTGGGCCTTATATCACTTTGGTTTCTAATTTTTCAATTGTGACACATTTAACTCTGAATTTTAAATCTTGTTCCAAATAAGAATAATTGAAGATACTATTGCTCAATTTCAAGTACAAAATCATCAATTTGATAAAATATAAACTAATTTGACAAAAATAAATGTCAAAAAAATATTTTTGAATTTTTAAAAAATATTTCTATCCACTAAAAATAACATTATGTAAGATTGATAAATTTTTTAGACATTTATTATTTTTTTTTACCAAATTTAATTTTTATTATGTGTTTGGATGATAATCATATAATGGGTGGTTGTTTTTATTTTCATTAAATTAGTTTTTATTTTTCCAAAAGTCAAATATGACGATAACTTTGATATAATTATTAAACCAATTTATTAAATCCAAAAATCCAAAACTAAAAACATTCTATATATTAAATATGTCGATTACACATTAAAAGCCTAACAACCACCCATTACATGATTATCATCCAAACACATAATAAAAATTAATTTGATAAAATAAATAAATAAATGTCTAAAAGATTTATCAATTTTATATAATTTATCTTTGGTGTGTAGAAATTATTTTTAAAAATTCAAAAATATTTTTTTGACAATTAAGCCTCGTTTGGCAAGTGACTTTTTTAGCCAAAAAGTCAAAAAGTCACTAAAAAAATCAAAAAGACAACAACCCATACCAAAAAGTCAAAGATTTTCTTTTTTCTCTACTTTTTGCACATCTTTTCATAAAAAGCTAAAAATTAATCCCAAACATATTCAGTGTGTTTGGTTTGAGTTTTCTGGATTAAGTTTTTTAAAAATTGAGTTTTTTAGTTTTCGTATTCTTTTATTTTTAGTGAATATTTTTTAAATTTTAAACATTTTTTTTTTACTTTTTTAGATGCACCTTAGTTAGATGTATCTAAAAAGTAAAAATTTTGTGAAAAAATATTTTAAAAAATTAATAAATACATAAAAATAAAAAAAATGTACTGAATTCTTGTATTTTTTTATATTTTTGGTAGTTAGTGAATTTTTAAAAGATTTTTTTTACAATTTTTTTACTTTTTAGGTGTATTTATGTTAGATTTGTCTAAAAAATAAAAAAATTGCTTAAAATATTAAAAAAAATTCAGTAAAAACAAAAAAATACGGAAAATAAGAAAGTAGAATTTTCTGAAAATTGTTTTTTGAAAAATGAAAACAAGCAAGCCGATTAGTTTTTTTGAGCTCATATTTTAGCCAAATAGTTAAAAAGTTACTAAATTAGCTTATTCCCAAACGAGGCCTTAGTTTATATTTTATCAAATTGACAACTTTGTTTTTAAGAAAAAATTTGGGACTCCCTTTTGGGGAGACCCCACCACCCCTACAGTGATGTGAACCAATGAAGTGTTTGTATTTTTTTTTTTTTTTTCTTACTTGGACTAATCACAAGTAAGTGGGGGTTGTGGGATCTGAATCATTACTAATATCCTTAAAATTGAACAATGGTATCTTCAATTGTTTATTTGGAACAAAATTTAAAATTTAGGATCAAATGTATCACAATTGAAAAGTCAGGGACCAAAGTGGCACGAGCCTTAAACTATAGGGACTGTTAATATATTTTGCCTATGATACTATTTTAATTATGACGTATAAATTTTTTAATTATATCTTGTGTAGTTTAGTTGTTATTATTATTTTTTAAATTTTAATTATAATCCTTTAAGCAAATATGAAAAGTAAGATATAATGCAAATATCCTAAATTTACATATGCTTACTGCAAAATCTCCAGAGTATCAAATATTGGTGCTGTTTGATGTAACTGTTAAAATAGATTATAGATTATAATTTACTAGATTATAGATTATAACTTTGATCAGAAGTTGTTAATCTGTTTGGTATAGCTGTTGGATTATAGATTTAAGTTCCTGAGTAGTGTTTGCTAAATAAGCTGTGAAGTAACTTTTTTAATTAACTTTTATTTTTTATTATTCATTATTTGTCTACATTTCTCATAAAAAATAATAATAATATTTTATAGTCCATTTGTGTCTTTTTCTATTTTTAAAAAAATAAAAAATAAAAAAATCTAAGAGTATAACCGTGAATTAATATGTCTACAGCAGAAGCTGATAATCAGAAGCAATGGGTGAGCAGCTTCTCAGAATCAGCTTTTTTCACTTAAAATAAGTTGTTAGAATCAGAAATTGTTTGAAATAAGTTTAACCAAACAGTCCAAAATAACTTTTTAAAAACCAGAAGCCATAAGTTGGCTAAAAAAAACCCTACCAAACACCCCATTGAAAAATTACATGGCATTTCTATTTGTCAACAGAATCTATTATATGTAAGGAAAATGCGTTGGACCCAGTGGGGTGCTGGGTCCTTGCTGATTGGTTAAAAAATAATTTTTCTTTTTTTTAAATTTAGTTACTGACAGTTTGCCATGTGACACTGGGGTTGCTGTTGCTGGAGTGCCTAGTCACGGGAGGTCCCCAGCAGAAAAAGAAATCAATTTTCAATGTAAACCCACCCAAAAATCACATGGCATTTCTAATTATATGTAAACACACCCAAAAAAAAAGAAATCAATTTTCAATAGTAATTTCAAGGAGTTACCCAGGTATGAGAGAGAACACAGTTAATTTTCTACGGTTTTGGTTGGTAGCTCGAAATTTAATGGCCCTAATGGCCCTAAATTTTCATATAAGGCAAAAAAAAAAAAACAAGGCAGAAAAAAAAAAGAAAAAAAAAACAGACTTATCCCAAAAAGGAAATTAGGGCCATTAGGGCCACTGTTTTTAGGGCCACAATCCATTTTCCAATTTTCTAACCAATCAATGCCGGGGAAACAAACCTCACAAACCACGATGATCTTCATTCTCCACCGTCCGTTCAATTTTCATCGATGGGGTATCAATCTGACAAATACCAGATTTCGCGGCGACCTTCGAACCCAGATCATCCTGCTTGCAGTCTCTGATCCTGTTCGAATCCACTCCATCCGTCTGATTAACATGCGTAAACGGCATTGACACTCTATGAACCGCAATATTGAGGTTGTATATCAAATCAAAGCTCGTGATTTTCGCGTAATTGATTCTCATTGGCGCCAACGGACCTCCGCCGCTCGCGGTGGTCACCACCAGCTTCTCCCCCTTCTCCATCGTGGGCAATACCGTCGCCGCCGCCAAACTCTCCAGATCAGCTCCCATCAACCGTCTATCCGGCACAATATGAAGCCTCAAATCGGACACGTACGAGTGTCCGCCAGCGAAGATCGACGAATCATCGAGCGCAAACACCGTCATAGCCGTAAAGGCCGAGAGCTCCGAGTATTTGACTCTCAGCGAGAGAGCAAGCACGCTGAATCCACTGATGCGGAGGCGGAGCATAGCGTCTTGTAGCATCTGAGGCATATCAGAGAACACCGCCGTAGACGGCGGAGGAGAAGGGAAAAAGAGAGAGAACTCATTCGCTCGATGTTGCAGGAAAGCGGAGAGAGGTGAGCGACGAAGCCTTGGATGCCGTGAACGACGACATATCCATCGTTGTAGAGGTCGGGCATGGTGATCTCCATGGCGCCGACGAATACCTTGCGGCTGATTTCATCGTCGGTGATGGTGATGCAGTGTCTGGGAGCTAGGGTTTCGATCTTGGTGCCGAAAGGTAGATTGCGGAGGTGGGGGAGGGTGTAGAGACCAGAGATGGTGTGTTCTTGGAGGAGGAGAGGGAGGGAGCAGGAAGGGCAGATGAGGAGGGAAGAGTCGGTGGGTGCGAAAATGGTGGCGGGGGGGGGGGGGGAGAGAGAGGCGGGTGCCGGGGGGAGCCCTCGTATATGTTCTTTGTTATATTTTCGGATCCTATTGCCCACGGGTCACGGGCCAATTCTACACTCTTATCAATGGTGACGATTGTTGTGGGAGAGAAGAAGATGGAGGTCAGGAGGAGGAGGGAGAGTTGCAGAGGAGTAGCCATGGTGAGAGAGAGAGAGAGTGGTGCAGTTATGTAACTGAAATGATACAGTATAGTTAGTTAGACTAGTTGGGCCCATAACAAGGTTGATTCGTTTCGTTGTATATTTATTTATGAGAGTTTTTTTGATAAATTCATTTTCTAAGAGTTTTATTCCATTCAATCCATATTCTTTTTTACTATTCCATTAGGTTCAATTTGAGATAAGAAGACCAAAATACCATTTTCATCTACTTATGTTTCATTTAATTCACATTATTTTCTTATGTTTCAATAAGTCCTATGGGTGACATAATTACCAAAATACCCTTAATGTGAATGTTCACACCGTCAATATAAATGTTTATATCGTCAATGTGTAGGGGCCCGGCTCATGCCGATCCTTATGGGCGCCCGGAAAAATTCGAGTCGGGCCAGGCCGGCCCACAAGCCAAAAATATAGGCCTGACCCGGCCCGTTGATAATATGAATATTCACATTGACAAGCTAACATTCACATTCATAGGAGTGTAAAATTGGCCTGCGGCCCGTGGGCGGCCCGAAACCAGCCAGTCGCCCGGGGCGGGCCCGTTCACAATAGTTCACAATATAAATATTCACATTGTATGAATATGCACATTGACATATTAACATTAACATTGACAAAAGTATAAAATTGGCCCATGACCCGTGGGCAGCCCGAAGCCCCGGGCCCGGGTCGGCCCGTTGACAATGTGAATATTCACATTGATAGGAGTGTAAAATTGGTTTGCGACCCATGGGCGGCCCGAAACCAGCCCGTCGCCCGAGGCGGGCCCGGACCGGCCCGTTCACAATATGAATATTCACCTTGACATATTAACATTAACATTAACATTAACAAGAGTGTAAAATTGGCCCATGACCCGTTGGCAGCCCGAAGCCCGGGCCCGGGCATTATCTAAGCCTACGTTTGGGAAGTGGGTTGGCTTTTTGGCTTTTTTGGCTATTTTAGCCTGGGCTAAAAAGCTTGGTTTGGGAAGGGCTTTTTGGCTTTTTGGCTTTTTTGAATTTTTTTGTGAGAGAAGAGTGTAATGATTATGGGTTGGATGTGATGTTTTGTTTTTTGTGGCTAAAATAGCCTATTTTGTCTTTTGTGGCTAAAATAGCCAAAAAAGCCCCAAAATTTTCTTCCCAAACGTAGGCTAAGAAGAAAAAAACGCTTCAAATATCACAAAAATTACTAAAAATAATAAATAAATAAAAATATGAACAAAATCTAATTTTAAAAAAATTGAATTCAGAAAATTAGAACCAAACAAGGTGATTTGTGATATAATAAAGGGGAGTTTTTTTTAAATCTCTAATGTTAAGATTTTTTAAGATAAATAACATATAATATTTTTATAATAGTTGGGGTCCTCAATATTTTACAAAGAAAATTCGATACAAAGAAATTTCAATTTTTATACAGAAATTTCAAAATTTTCTTTAATTTTACAAAGAAATTTTATTAATTGGCCTTACCTAATAAAAAATACATATTGAAATATTGAGCCTCTCCTACTATCTAAAGTTAGAGAATGGTGTTTCACTAATTTTTCCTATAATAAATCTATTTTCTCATAAATTTTTAAAAATTAGTTAGGTAATTTTTATTTTTTTAAAAAACCATTATTCTGACATAATTTTTTTTTTTTTTTTGGGAAGGAGAAATAAATTTTATAATTAGTTTTCTATTTATCAAACTAATTCTTAATTTTTCAGAAACATTTTGAAAAAAAATATTTTAGAAAGATTTGATTTAATGAGATGACTGTATGAGACTTTCGTACAATAATTTTGTTTGGAGTAATGTTATACCCAAAAACAAAATAATATTGATTTATTTCAACTTAAAAGACCTATCAAAGTAAAGAATTTTTTCAAAAATACATAGTAATATTTTTTTAATAAATTTTTATTTACAAATTACTCTTCTTGTTTTGTTTTGTTTTGTTTTTTTTTTTTTTGGGTAAATAAAATACTGAGATCTAACACATTCCATTTCAAATCTAAACTGACTCGTAAATTTAAAAAATAACAATATCTCATTAAAAAATTTCAATTTATGGAACGTTTTCCTCAAAATCTCTTTACATAAATTACATTACAAATAATAAAATTTATGTGACCAATGTTATTCAAGCAATTGATCCAGCTATAAAACTTTTAATAAAAAAATGATCAAACTTTAAATATTATAAATTTATCTAATTTTTTTTAAAATTTTAATGATGTGTTTGGTTGGAGGATTTAAGAAAAGATTTGGAAAGAGAAAAAATAGAAAAAAATAAGTGAAATGCGAATAAAATTTACTTATATTTGACCTAATTTCACATACATTTTCTCTTTCTCTTTCTCTTTCCAAATCCCTCACCAAATTATTTCCCAATCAAATACAACGTAAATGATTCACATTTCCCCAAGAATGTGAAATTACCATGAAAGATAAGAGTAAATTACTATTCTATCCCAATTCGTTCCAAACAATGAAATCAAAAAGACCTAGAATCACATTTCCATTCTCTCTCAAAACTGAGAGTTTGTCACACACAAGTCTGCACCTTTTACAAAGCCAGATTATGGAACAGAAAGCCACACCAAAACAAAAAACAAACATACATAAAATAGTAACTAAAACAGGTAAACAAACAAGCAAATTAGTAATCAATGAAGTAGATTCAAACAGCTGTTGCTAGTAACAAGGCTGCAACTATGCAATTATTAAAAACACATGCTACTATAACCTTTCAAGAACAAAACCAGTCATAATTTTAGAATTTGAGCTACCAGACAGGCCATCAATGAGCGGAGATCAACTTGTCATTCTTTCTTTCCAATTCCGTGAGACAGGTTATAGATGCCCCGTCCCTGGATGGAACGCATAAAATTTAACAGGAACAGTGATGCATCAGAATTTTATCCCATAAAAATGGCCCCAAAAAAACAAAAAAACTGAAAGGAAGAATGAGTAGAAATGAACTCACAATAAGAAACAGAGAAGTAGCTGCCAGAGCTGCCGGAATGGCAACAGAGGTGATCTTATCATATCGACCTTTCAGATATGTGTGTTTGTGGATGCTTTGAAAATATTTTTGCTTCTCAAATATCTTCTCTCTTGGTCTAAAGGGTGCCTCAGCTTCAGACATCCTGCATCATTTGGTACCACCCCCCAAAAATAAATCTCAACATCAAAACAATTTCTGCACTCTATTCATTCTCTCACTCTGTTGTCATATGCATTCTTGTGTGTGAGTTGTAGTACAAACTCATATTTGTGAGTATGTACACAGCTTCATTGCATTCTGTACTGACTAAAGCTACAGAATGTTAACACTCACCAATGTCCAATCTTTTTACCAATTTTGTACCATAAAATAGATTAGGCTGGTTATCTAATTTATTAAGCACATCAACATTATATTAAGCAATGTTAAGCTTTCTACAATAGAATGCTATTTGGATAAAAGGCTGTAAATGAATCAAGTGCAGTGCTAGGTCGTTTAAAATTTGGCTTGAAAACTTAACGAGCTTCAAAATGTATTCAAGTTTGGTTTGTTTACATAACGAGCCGATTTCAAATAATCTTTTAATGAGCCAAACATGAGTAGCTTGATTTTGCATAATACATACAAGTTTATCAAGCCGAGTAGTATGTTGTTCAAATTTGACTTAAAAACTTAACAAGCTTTAAAATGTGTTCAAGCTTGACTTGCTTGCATAACAAACTGATCTTGAACGAGCTTTTAACAAGCCAAACAAGAGTCAAGCTCGAATAGTTTGATCGTTTTACAGCCTAACTGGGTATAAAAGACACTGGAATAGTCTGAGGTATTGCCAATAGTCCTTTTGGGCATCACTAGACAACCATGATGCGATGTTTGTCTGGTATTAACAGCATCAAGCAAGGTAACAAAGGTACTACATTGCTCTACCGGAACAGAATAATGGAAGACAGGTGCACTTTTACTACATCAAATTCAATCATTATTTTAACAGACTTTATATTCTATGAACGTATACAAATTTATGTTTGCTTCTATTAAACATCCAACCTACATATTTGGAATGGAACTATAGTAAAGCAGAATATACTCCAAATCAAATCTACAAGTCACATTGAAATACAAAACATTGGTTGAATTTTTAGTAAATAAGTTTGACCTAGTTCCATGTTTAGATAGGATTATAGAGAATACCCAACCCATCTGAAAGCATGAAAATGATTTTACATGCAAAAGAATTTATACAAGTGATTTTAGACATCCAAATATGATAAAGATATCAACAATAAACTGTCAAATACATACTTTTTTGTTATCAATAAATTACAAGAAATATATAAATACAGATTAAGATATGCATATGATTTTTTGCTACATGTAAAAACTTGATATCCTATTTTAGCAGGAAGGAAAGGCACAACCAAGCTCGAGTTCAAAACCCAGCCTTAAAGGTTTGGAGTTGAACTAGGGACCACCTTTGACGTCCCATTGGGAACAAATTGCGGTAAACACATGAAGTCTGAAGTGGCAACATTTCACCAAATACAGTTCAACCAATTTTGGTAATGGAGATAATTATGGTTAAGAGTTGCATTTAAATGAAAGATTTAAACCTTCAAATGATGAATAAGATAATATGGACCCACTAAATTTCATGCATTTAAACAAATTGTCCAATTATATACGCTGAACAATTTCATGTCAATATCCTGGAGGAAACCAGCCAAGAATGAAAAGAAAAAAAAGGAAAAACCAGAAATTTCACAAAGAGTACACCTAGGCCATGTTTCATAACTAGTATAGGTTTTTGGGGTTTGACTAGATTCATAATACCATGGGATTATGGACAGGGTTAGTAATACGTAGGATAATAGATGGGATTTAGTAATACCACGGGAGTAATTGTCAATGTTTAATTTGGATAGGATGTATGATGAGATAAGAGGAAAGGATTATTATTATTTTTTATCATTGATGTTGCCAATCTATGAATCCCATGGCCATGAGATTAGCAATACCATGGGACTAAAAGGATTATTATTATTTTTTATCATTGATGTTGCTAATCTATGAATCCCATGGCCATGTGATTAGCAATACCATGGGACTATGAATCCCAAGCCATTTATCTAAACAAGCATAAGCTTAGGGGACAACAAAAAAACATGTAGGTCTAGTGGTGTTGCCAAGAAATTTAGTCAGAGGGGAAAACCATTTATCATAACATTAGATTTTTTTTTTTTTTTTTTTTTTTTTTTTTTTTTATGAACAATGATAAAATTATATAAACTATTTAAGATAATATCAAAAAAAAGAAAAGAAAAGAAGAAGAGTACATATTTATTAATAAAGTCAGAGAGAATTAAGACACTTTGTCGTCCACCTATGTATGTCTATAAAGTTATGTACGTCTATAATGTATACAAAAGACGTCTTCAAAGAAACATAAATTTAAACGATTTAAATTTAAATAGGGGTTTAGGGTCTATAAACAATTTAAAGGGGCAATTTGAAAAACTTTTTCCTAATTTCAAATTTGAGGAGGGGCATCTGAATTTCTGAATTTTGACCCAATTCACACATGACAAGCAAAGGCGAGCCTGAGTGAGACCTTGACAGCCCTAGTGAGCTTCTCAATACACCACATATATGTGTATATATATATATATGTGTGCGTGTATATATATATATCTATTCTGTTATATAAAGTGTACACCTGAGTTTGTGTGAACACTGTCAATTTTTTTCCCTTTTCTAAGGATACCCTTTCCATCCCCAAGTACTGTTTTTGAATAATTTTTCTCCACCAAATTTCCCAAAACTGCTCATCAGTATTTTTGTTTTTTTTTCTTTTTCAAGCTATTATATATGGAATGAGTTATCCAGAACAAAGCAGACAAGACAAACCAATCAATACAATTGCCGAAATGAAATCAACATCACTAAAAAGAAGAAGAAGAAAAAAAAAAAGAACTAATAAAACTAGATCTAATCGGAGAAAACAACAAACAAACAAATACACAAGTGTTAATCATCCGAATCGAATCATAAGAAACAAATTGAAATATAATCAGATGAAGCTGATATGTATAGACGAGGCTTAATCTTCAAGCACAGTTTGAAAAACGAGAGAGAACTTACTTGAAAGCGAGAGAGTCGGAGAGAGTCGAGAAGGGTTTGAGCGAACTCGTAGCCGACTATTGCCGATAGGAAACGAGTCAAATGGTAAAGTGCCGCTGGGTGTTTGGGGGTGCTGTCCTGTCCGGTGACTTTTTGTGCGGTAATCTCCAATTACTAATTGCCATGTCGTCAGGCATTGTTTGGGCCGCATAACAAAAATTTATGTTTGGAGGCCCAGTATTCTTGGTCTCTAAAATTTTCTCTAAACAACACATTTTTATCTTTTTTTTTCTTTTAACTATTGTTTTTCACACAAAGCATAAAAAAGCATGGTATCATTTTCTTATGAGTGTTGATGAATCGGTTTAAATTAGATAGTCTTCCATCCACCATTAGTTTAAATTTAGATGGATTGAAAAATATATTTGTATCCATCCTCTTGGACGATTGAAACCATCTATCCTGTAGATGATTAGTTCGGGCTATTTGGTCTTAACGGGTCAGATAAATGCTTAGTTAGTACTGGTATGATTTAATGATTAGGAATGCATTGATTTAGATTGGAAATAAAAAGATTTAATAATTAGGATTGTATTGAGATAAGAAAACAAAACGACTTAAAATAAAAGTGTATTGAGATAGAAAAATAAAAGAATTTAAAATAAAGAGCACATTGAGATAAGGGCCTCATTTGGAAAGTTAGTTATTTTAGTAGGTTAAAATTTTTATATTTGAGAAGATGGTTGAATTTTTTTGTAATTAGATGTGATGATTGTAAGAGAAAAAGTAAAATGATTATGAGTTTAATGTAATATTTTGTATAATTAATTATTTTAACTTATTTTTTGTTTTTGTGGATTTTAGTCCCAAAAAAAAAAAAAGCCAAAAAGTCTCTTGCCAAACAGGGCCAAGGAAACATAAAGATTTAAAAGATTTGAACATTTTTTTTATGTGTTTGGATATAATCATCCCCCAAAAACAATTATCATTCTAACTGAATTTTTTTTGTAAGAATTCTCTGCACTAAACAAATGAAACCCAAGTGGAAAATGGCAAACATATCACAATTGTGAGATGTGGACAGACTGTGCAAGTGGTTTGTGATATGTTTCTAATGTTCTTTCCGATGTACCAAAAAAACAAAAAAAACAAAAAAATAAAATAAAAAATATATATGTTTTTAATGTTAGGATCAACCTCCTTTCCTACTTGTAGGGACATAATTTTTGAATGACAACACGTGGCTGAGGTATCACCGAAGTGACAGCCGAGGTGCCACGTGTCCTGGTCATGATGTCGAGGTGATCTCGGCTACGCCGAGCTTATCTGCGAGAATACCGGAATCCGAGATAAGCGAATAAGGGACAAGAGTCCTAGAATGGGAGAAGACTTCAGTTTGGGTAAAGATAAGACTCTTAGAGAGTTTATCCTAATCCTACTATGGGTCCAAGATTAGCAGCAATCCTAAGTCCATTGGAGCTAGGCTTCTATTGGGACAAGGATTGTGTTGGCTATAAAAGTGAGGCACCCTCATGGGTCTAAGGCATGTTTTTTATGCTCTGAATAGTGAGTTAAGCACTTTTGCTATCTTTGAGAGATAACTGACTTGATCATCGAAGTACCCCTGGGTGGACGAACCACCGCCGGAATCTTTTCTTTTTGTTGACAAGTCGTTCGGGTTTAATCTATTCTGCTGGTGTTCTCCAGCTGAGTACCTGTTTGGCAGTGTGGTCGGAAATTGACACCCACAATTTGACACCGTCTGTGGGAAGAAAGGAGAATAGATGGCCAACGACGGACAGAAAGAGAAGGTTGGGGACGACACCCCTACCGAGAATGGGAAACATATTGACTCTAACGTCGAAGAAGTCAACTGCAACGAAGAGACTCGTGATAAGAATCGCGAAGGAAAGGACGTCAGCCAGGAGAGCGACGTACCAAAGAAAACGGACCGGAGCAGATATTACAACGAGGACGACCTCCAGGTATGGAAAAAAAGATGCCTACGGAGGGACGCTAAGGTAAAGGCCATGGTGAACAAATTGGCAGACCTATAAACAGTGGTCAATTTCATGATGCAGAATAGCGTCATACAGCCACCGTTCCCACTACAAGATACGCCGATTCCAGCAGCAAAGGTGGATGCCCGAAAAGAGGGGCAGAAAACAGTCCCTACAGTCCCCCAGCACACCAGGATCGAAAAACACTGTCACTGGCCTTCAAGAGAGGTCGAGTGAGGAGAGTCAAGAAGGGAAGAATCGAGAAGGACACATCGCACCAAAGAAGCCGACCCTAAAGAACATCAGCATGTTCAAGGGGAGGAGTTGTGCTTCGACGCAACCAATGGAGGGAAGTCCAAAAGAACCCATAATGAAATTGGGAGTAGTGCACCGAAAAGGCTGAAAATCAGGAGATAGCCGAGCTCCTAGACGGACCAAAGAAGATATGGGGGATCACCTACAGAGGAAGTAACAAGATGCCGAAGTAACCTCCCCGGTCAAGCCAAGAACACCGTTCTCGGTAGAATTGGACAAATTCGAAGCCCCGAAAAGGTTTAGCATGCCGAGATTCCAGATTCACGTCGGCCCCCAACCTTCACGTCGGCTTGTACCTGAACTCGATGGCGTTGTACACTGAGAACGAGCCATTGCTCTGCAAGGTGTTCCCTTTATCCTTCGGAGAAATTGCGTTGGACTGGTTTCACAAGTTGCCGAAATGAACTGTGAAAACCTGGGAAGGCCGAACTGAGATGTTTGTGGCCAGGCTCGTGACAAACAAGCTACAGCCATCGAGGGTGGACGTCCTAATGGCCTTGAAGATCGGCGAGGATGAAAGCCTTATGGCCTATGCCAAAAGGTATTATGAGGTATTCAACCGAAAACTAGGATGCAACCAAGAGGTGGCGGTCGTGTCGTTTAAAAACGGCTTGAAGGATGACTGCCTGCTTCGAAAATCATTGGCAAAGACATTGCCGAAAAGCATGGAGGAGCTGATGGCCAGGATAGAAAAGTATGCCAGAGTCGAGAACGACACGTCGGGGACAAAGGCGTCCAAACAAGAAAAGAGAAATGGTTCGCCGAAGCGAAGCCGAGATAACACTAAATACAAGAAGACAAGAGCTTAGCCCAAGTGAGCAGATCCTGGATTCCAGATCTCAAATCCCATATCCCAGAAGACGAGATCTCGGCCTAGATGATTAAGTCCGAGAAGAGAATAGCTTGGCCTAAATTAAAGAATTTTTATATGAGGTCCACAAAGGAGTATGTGGAAGCCATGCAGGGGCAGATCCCTTGCCCATAGAGCAATATCGTAGGGATTCTTTTGGCCTTACATGCAAAAGGAAGCTGAAGCTTATGTAAAAAAGCATGAAAAAGCTTTGAAATCCACCTACAACGTGTGACAGAACAGCAATTCGGCTGGGGGCATACTAGCAACAACTTGCTAGAGCTTACAACAAGAAGGTCAGCCCAGAAGAGTTCAAAGTTAGGGACTTTAGCCTGAGAAAGGTTGCCGGCAATGGGGTATAACGGCTGAAGTGTTAGTTTGCTTTTTGGAATCTGTCCGATAGGACTGACCAGTCCTATGACGATGTTTCTGATTGAAACATGACGAATGACTTAGACTTATTATATGGCAGAGTAGAAACTTTATTTGCATATAATAAAGTTGAACTAAATTGGGTTAACCTGGACTTGTCATATCGGCAAAATCAGGCACAGATTTGAGCTAAGTGCCTTAGTAAAGAGACCAAGGTTAATAACCTCGGCCAGTCTTTGTTCAAATATTACATCGGCGACGAGGTCAAAGCCACGTGCCTAATGAGAACCCAAGTGGAACTTAAGTTCACATTAGGGGGCAAAGGGCTGAAGAACAATGTTTGGGAGTCGGAATTTCACAAGCTAAGATTGGTTTAGACACTTGTTGAAATTTAAGTTTACAAGTTGAAGTTAAACCGAGGATGTGTTTACCACTTGTTGAAATTGAAATTTACAAGTTGAAGTTAAACCGAGGTCGTGTTTAACACTTGTTGAAATTGAAATTTACAAGTTGAAGTTAAACCGATGACGTGTTTAACACTTGTTGAAATTTAAGTTTACAAGTTGAAGTTAAACCGAGATCACGTTTAATGTTTGTTGAAATTTAAGTTTACAAGTTGAAGTTAAACCGAGGTCACGTTTAATGCTTGTTGAAATTTAAGTTTACAAGTTGAAGTTAATCGAGGTTATGTTAAAAGAAGATTGGTTTAAACACTTGTTAAAATTTTGAGAAAAATTTACAAGTTAAGCCAAGGTTATGTTGAAAGAAATATCTACATACTTGCCGAGAGTACCATGTTGCCAAGACTTGGAAGAAATTTGAAAACAGAAGTCTTGCTAAAGTTGTAAATAACGCTTGTGAAAATATTGTAAAAAATATTTTCAAGTGTTAAGCTGAGACTGAGATAAACCGATTAGTGGGTACAACCGAGGTATTGCACCCCGAGGAGATTGCACAATTAAGGTGTATTTTGAAGACATGCAAATTATTTTAAGTATAGAATGCATTCAGAAAATGAAAGAAGGAACTTCGGCCTAACATTGAAGAATGATTGTTTAGATTACAAAAAGGTCGGTGTACGCCGGTGTCAGACGGTGGTAGTAAGCAAAGAAGTGCAACGAAAGCCTCACCAGAGGAAGAGAGTGAAACTGGTGGCAGAAAGCTTCGCAAAAGCAGCAATGGAGGATTTGAGAGAGAAAGTTTGAACAAGAACGAAGATGCAAAAGTGAAAAGACGGAGAAAGAGTTGATTTTGATCAAAAGCATAAAATGGTGGCAAAATGGCAATATGGTGCCTTGAACGACGTGCTTGTCAAACAGCGCACGCAAAAGTGATGCGACTTGATAGCACGTATCAGGTACGGTCCAGTAGGGGAAAGACGCATAGTAAAGACAGTTGAAATACTGTGTGCCAGCTCATACGCGTGCTGGAACTCTTGGAGTTCTTGATTCAATGAAGCAAATACCTCGGCTAGGAGGACGATTTCGGCTGAGAAACTTGAACGAACTTGGTCGTTGGTTCTAAGACATTGATGAAAGCAGACTATAGGTCTTGGTCATATTGAGCCGACGAGTTTTGACTTCGGCAATAGATGATGAAGCGAGCTTAGCCGGCGTGTTAAATGAAAGAAATGATAT